GATGAAATTTTCAGTCCCTAGTAGGCAAATAAATAATCTTACTTATCCTTATTATTATTATTAGCACCAATCACACTGCCAGGCATACAATGTTGATTTAAAAAGATTTGCTGAATGATGAACAAATGAACTAATGAGCATTCAATCAGGATTCACAGAGTTTTGGGTTTTTTTTAAGGAGTGGGATAATCTGTTTCTCTTTCCTCTCCTTTCTCTAAATTTCCCTACAATTAACCCATTCTTGTTCACAACAACTTCTGACCTCAGTAGCAAATAAAAGTTCTGTTCTCTATTTTAAGATAGTAAAATGATCCATTATTGCAGGAAGTTGGAGTAGAGTACCTTTGCCCTCCTCTTCATACTAAGCACAGCTAAAAACCTTGGGTATTATATACTCTGAAGGGTAGAGAGAGAAAAAAAAAAAGCAGACTCGCTAGGGACATCAAAACCCAAGAAACAACATAGCGCTGAGTTCCTTGGGGTGTTTTTTGTCTCACACATCCCAGTCATGAAGCTGACAGTCAGGAGCCTGGACATTCAAACAGGCACAGACAAAATAACTCAAACAAAAGCTTGGTCTCTTCTAAACAAAATCTGAGAAAGAACAGAAAGACAGAAAGACAGCTTAGAGAGACAGAAGACTTTTAGTTCTGTTCCAGCTAAACCACAAGAAACATTACTGCTCCATTACTGCTCACACTACCTTGCCAAGTATTGATCCTAAACTTCTGCTCTCACAAATCAGTAATGTGCTTTAACACCCTCACCAATACTGTCAAAACTGACCAAGAAGTAAGCTAGGATTTTTATTCCCACTAGCCAATAACATGACCTCCCCCTTCCTGCAGTGTCAGAGGAGACCACTCAGGACTTCCTCTCCTACCCTAAAGGGGATGTGTCAAAGAAGTGCACAACAGGACATTAACCATTACCTAGTGGTAATGAAACCATCACTTCCACATTGTCAGTGGTGATCATGTGCTATGCCAGAATTCCCTCCCTACTCCAGCAGTATTGAGGAATCTCCCCACTCAAGTGTTAAAACCTGGACTTACATTTCATGTGATTAATGACATGGTGGCACCTCCTCCACTCCTTCCATTCACAGTCAGAGTGGTGTAAGAGAAAATCAACCAAAAAGGGAGAGTTTAAATAAGATTCAAAGTTTTATAATTTAATATGAGAATGTCCAGGTTCCAATAAAAAATCACCACCTGACACATTCAACCAGGATATTCTCAAACTGAATGGAAAAAACAATTGTAGAGGCCAACAAAATATGACAGAAGTAGTAGAATTATCTGACAAAATTTTAAAACAGCCATTATAAAAATACTTCAATGAGCAATTACAAACACACTTGAAACATTCAAAATAGAAAGCCTCAGCAAGGAAATAGAAAATATAAAGAAGAACCAAGTGGAAATTTTAGAACTGAAATATACAGTAACTGAAATAAAAAGCTCAGTGTATGGGTTAACCAAAAGAATGGAAGAGACAAGGGGAGAAACAGTGAATTAGAACAGAAAACATAGAAATTAATAAACCTGAACAATACAGAGAAAATAGACTGGGGAAAAAGTGTACTTCAGGGAACCTTAAGATTACAATAAAAGATCTAACAATTGTGTCATTGGACTCCTAGAAGAATAGGAGAAGGAGGGCAAGAATCAAAAAGGTATTTGAAGTAATAATGGCTGGACACTTTCCAAATTTAGTAAGAGACATAAACCTACAGACTCACAAAGTTGAGTGAACCCCAAACAAAGTAAACACAGAAATCTATAACAAAACATATCATAATTAAAATTCTCAAAACTGAAGACAAAGAAGTCATGACAACTTTGTTTAAGGGGAAAACTATTTGTTTTGTTTTTATTTATTTTTTATTTTTATTTATATATATTTTACATCATTGTTGATTTTTTAAAAAAATTTTTTAAAGATTATTTATTTATTTATTTATTTATTTATTTATTTATACATGCACTGGGTAGTCAGAGGCGCAGGAGGGTGAGAATTCACCAGAGCCAGAGCCGAGAGGAGAACAGGCAGAGTGATGAAGTACACTGCTGAGGGGAGCAGCCAGCGGCAGGAAAGGTCTGCGCGCCATGTGGGACCCTCGCCTGGCAGCCGGGGATCGAACCAGTGCTGCAGAGGCTGTGGGTAGCTTCGCAACCCAGCGGCTCAACCACTGCGCCACCTGGGAGGCCCATCATCATTGTTGATTTTTAAACAATGTTTGCATCCCCCCACCAGGTGTAGTCCCCATAGAATTTCCTTCACCAGTTCACCCATGCACCATCACCATAGTATCTTGTGCTTATCCCTCACTCCCCCTGAACCCTCTCCCTCCTCCTCCCCTGCAGGATGTCTCTGGTTTATAATTGTCTGTCTGTTTTTGTTTCGTTTGGTATTGTTGTGTTTTGTATTGTTAATATTTTTTTCCTCCAATGTCTGAATTGGTTCCCCTATATTCCTCCTATAAGTGAAACCATATCTGATATTTTTCTTGTTCCTTCTGACTTATTTCACTGAGCATAATTCCTTCTAGCTCCATCCATGTTGCTGCGAATAGCATTAGTTTATCTTTTTGATTTCTGAATAGTATTCTGTTGTTTATATACCAAATCTTCTTGATCCAGTCATCTATTTTTGGACATTTGTGTTGTTTCCAGGTTTTGCCTATTATAATTAGTGCTGCAATAAACATAGGGGTACAGGTATTCTTTCGAATCAATGTTTTTGTGTCCTTTGGGTAGATCCCTAGGAGTGGAATTGCTGGCATGGCAGGAGAGGTCTACTGCACCATGTGGTTCAGCTCCCTGGCTGGGGATGGAACTCATGCTGCAGTAGCTGGTGATAGATAGCTTGATAGCACTGACACTTCAAGCCCTGCACCACCAGAGCGGCCCACATCCAGATGATTTAACTCAAAATTACTACCAAATTTGAGGAAGAATTAACACCAATTTTAGAGAATTATTCTAGAAAACAGAAGAGTTCAACATGTCCCAATTCATCTTATGAGCTAGTATTAACACTGATACCAAAAGATACCATCATAATTCCTTTATGAATTAGATGTAAAAATCCTGACCAAAATATTAACAAATAGAATTCAGCAACATATTTAAAAAATTCTACACTGTAACCAACTTGCGTTTTTCCAGCAATGCAAGGCTGGTTCAATATTTGAAAACCAATCAATGTAATTCACCATATTATAAGCTAAAGAAGAAAAATCACATGATCATATCAATCAACAAATTCAACACCTGTTCATAATTTTTTTTTAATCTCAGAAAAATAGGAATATAGGGAAGTCCCTCAATTTGGTAAAAGGCAACTATAAAAACCTTACAGTAAGCTAGAACTACACTTACTGGTGACTTTCACCCTAAGATTGAGTGACAAAAATGTCCACTTTTTTTTAAGATTGTTAATGTTCTTATAGATTTATTTAATATCTCATGAACTATGCTTACAACATTAACCTCATTGCTGAAAGGGTCAGTTACTACACATTAAAAAAATCTATGTAATGAAGTTGAGATTTTTTTCTTCAAATCTTTCATTGCTAAATTGTTCTTTCAATTAGTTATAAGTCACTATATGGTGACAAATAGGCCATTATCTTGTCATATTTTTTGGTTAGTATATTTTTTATGAATTATTTTATTTTATATAATTCTTACATCATTTTTCATTTTTGCATGATGTATGCATTTTCATTTTGGTTATATTCCCCATACAATTCCCACCCTCTTTTTTTGACCCTATTCCCTCTTCTCCCCGCCCTGCCCCCCACTGTAATGTGTCTCTGGTCTATAGTTGCTTGTTGATTTTGATTTTCACTGTATTGTAATTAGTCTTTTTCCTGGTCCCTTATTTAAATTCTCTAAATTTCTGCTATGAGTGAGACCATCCAGTAGTTTTCTTTTTCTTTCTGGCTTATTTTGCTGAGCATGAACCCTTCCAGCTCCATCCATGTGGCTGCAAATTGCATTAGTTTATCTTTTTTGATTGCTGAGTAATATTCCATTGTGTATATGTACCACATCTTCTTGATCCAGTCATCTGTTTTTGAGCATTTGGATTGTTTCCATAGCTTAGCTATTGTAAACAGCGCTGCTATAAACATAGGGGTGCAGGTGTCCTTTGGAATTAATGTTTCTGTGTCCTTTGGGTAAATACCTAGGAGTGGAGTTGTGGGATCATATGGAAGCTCTATGTTTAGTAGGTCCAGAAATCTCCACACAGCTCTCCACAGTGGTTGGACCAGTTTGCACTCCCACCAGCAGTGCAGAAGAGTTCCTTTTTCTCCACATCCTCGCCAACATTTGTTGTTGCTAGTTTTTTTAATATGTGCCATTCTCACTGGTGTAAGATGGAATCACATTGTAGTTTTGATTTGCATTTCCCTAATTACAAGTGATGTTGAAAATTTTTGCATTTGCCTGTTGGCCATTTGCATTTCCTCTTTGAAGAAGTTTCTTTTTAGCTCTTCTGCCCATTTTTTTTTAACGGTATCAAATGATTTTATTACAAAACTTAAGCCATTTTCACTTTTCTTAAAAAAACACAAACATGAGAATAAAATAAACACCCCAAGACTCACTAGCCCTTGCAGGATAGGAAGAAGCCTGGACAGAAAGCCTGCAAATATTTTCCTTATCCCCAATGTCTGTGCTTCCTCACAATTCTAGGGTCCTGTGTTTTGTTGCCTCTTACAGGGAAAGGCAACTGAAGCTACACGGTTCATGACGAGGCTCATGACGACTTGAAGGCTCTTTGATGCCAGTAGCTTGTACAACTGGGTCTGCGACTCTGAGAAACAGTATCAAATGAGCGCCATCACCCCTATTCCCAGCTAACCTTTCGTGTCCTTAGTCTTTGAAATGGCCTCTTTGGGACTGCCTATGTTTCTTCATTGTAGCTTTTCCTATTCCTAAGCACAAATCCTAAAATCCGCAGCTTCCAAGTTCAAGTATAAAGATCTGTTTCAGGACAACACCAAATTGCTGTAGTGTTTCTTTGGGTCTCTGTAGTGTTCACTCCCAAGGGTGTCATCCCCTTGGGACAGGCGAGCCAGACAGCAGCCTGTGAAGGGGCATACAGGTTCACCTTTCCTAACACCAAACCTGTTCCCTGTTCAATCTGGATACTGCCCCCCAGTCAAGGCTGAATCTTGAAGTCAGTGATGACCTTGCCCTGTCTTCATTCTGAAATTGTACTCTTATGAACTGTATCTGTTCTTCACCACTAATTCAGTGGCGCTTCCAAAAGGTGCCAGGCATAGCCTTAGGAAGCATCCTGGGATGGAGCTGGAGGGTCCTGGCTTTCCAGCTCCGGGGGTGGTGCTGGCACAGCTTCTTTTTTCTGGGCTGCCAGGAACTCATGAATTGCTCGTTCTATCTGTGGCCTGAAGATGTGGTTTAGTTTAGGATCCACCACCTGAGAAATAATTCTGTCCACTCCAGCCTCCAACATGCCTGACTGAACCACACTCTGCCTCAGACCATTTCGCAATTGGTTTTTGTTCATTGTAGGATTCCACTCTTGTTTGTCCAGATGTGTCGACACAAAATTATCCACTTTCTGCCTCAGGTTTTGGTACGCTGGCTTGGTGTCCACGTCGGCCAGGCAGTCCCTGCGGAAGCTGTCGAACAGCCCCCGGCTCTTGAGCTGCTCCACGATGAGCGTGATGAGCTGCGGGTCGCTGGGAGGCAGGGAGCCGGGTTGATGGCACCCCCGCCGCTGGCCCCCGCTGTGCCCACCGCCGCGCCCCTCTTCTGCCCATTTTTTGACTGGATTATTTTCTTTGTTTGTTTTTTTTTTTTTTTTGAGTCTAATCAGCTCTTTGTAGATTTTTGTGATCAGTCCTTTATCGTTAGTGTTGTGTGCAAAAATTTTCTCCCAGTCGGTGGGGTTTCTCTTTGTTTTGGTTATTGTCTCTTTTGCTGTGCAGAAGCTCTTTAATTTGATGTAGTCCCAGCTGTTTATCTTTGCCTTCATTATCACTGCTTTGGGTGATGTGTCTGTAACGATGTCTTTGAGGTGCATGTCATGTAGTGTTTCACCTATATTTCCTTCTATATATTTTATGGTTTCAGGTCTTATGTCTAGTTCTTAAATCCATTTTGAGTTGGTTTTTGTACATGGTGTGAGGTAATAGTCAAGCTTCATTCTTTTGCATGTAGTGACCCAGTTTTCCCAGCACCATTTATTGAACAAACTTTCTTTGCTCCAGTGCATATTCTTTGCTCCTTTGTCAAAGATTAGTTGACCATAAATCTGTGGGTTTATTTCTGGATTTTCTATTCATTTCCATTGGTCTGTGTGTCTGTTCTTGTTCTAATACCATGCAGTTTTGATTTTTATGGCTTTGTAGTATAGTTTGAAGTCTGGGAATGTGATGCCTCCATTCCCTTCTTTTTTTTTTCAGGAGAGCTTTGGCTATTTGGGGTTTTTGGTGATTCCATATGAATTTTATCAATAATTGTTCTATTTCTTTGAAGAATGTCATTGAAATTTTTATTGGACTAGCATTGAATCTATAAATTGCTTTTGGTAGGATGGCCAAAATATGTTCACTTTTGATCACACTTGATTCAACATAGAGCTGGAAGCTCTGGCCATCATTTTATTTCTGTGAAGAATGTCTTTGAAATTTTAATAGGGATTGCATTTAATAGGAATCTGTATAGTGAATATCTCATTATTTAACAAAATACATGTATTGAACATCTACATAAAAATCAAAGAATGAATGAGTGCTCAGGCAATTATGCTCTGTCTGGTGAACAGCCCCATGTTGACCTTCTAGGTAATTAAAATCAAACTCAACATCTTTTTTTTGTGTCCTGATGAACTATGCAAGGTTAGTACACAAGGTCAGGAGTCTGGCATTCATCCAATCTAACTCATTTTGTAAATGAAGAAATTGAGGATCAAAGAGATTAAATGATAAAGTCAAGGTTAAAAACAGAATTAGTAACATAACTAGGCCTAAGCTCCCATTCAGTAAAACAACATTCTATGATGGTACTTCAATTTATACATTCCTATGAGTGAAGACAGTCTCCTTGATAGTCTAGCTATAGAGAGAACTACTCAAAAAATCTGTATACCATCTAAAACTAAACTCCAGTTGCACACACTCGAATACAATGGCCTCTTTTACATAGGATGACATATCCCAAGCCTTTGAAACTATTAACAGAAACAAAACACCCTAGAGACTCATCATCCCTCTTGGACAAGCTCAAAAGAGAGCACCACAGGTAAGGGGATCCTCTGCCCCTTAGCAATCAGGAAGGAATTTCATTTTGCTTCTTTGCTTTAGTTGTACTAACAAAACATTAAATGAGTACTCATCATATGCCAGGCACTGTACTATATACTAGAGATAGTGGTTAAGATACACAATCCCAAGGTTCAAGAAGTTGCCAACTGTGACCAACAACTGCAGGCAAATAAATACAGTATGTTCAGGGTTAAGACTATATCCATAGAGGGGGGCGGAGCAACATGGCGGCGAGGAGACGCTGCGAGTAAGATCTCCCATTAAAAAAAGTTAATAGGGAGGAAAAGCGGCAGGTCCCAGTGAGAACTGGGACACGGAAGATAAACGGACGACTCCAGCAAACTACCCGAAGAAGAAAGTGGCCATAAAAGAGGACTAGAAGGGAGGAAAGCGCAGAACCCTGCTCCCCTCCCCCGCCCACAGAGTCGGCACTCTCCGACCAGCAGAGAGGAGGAAAAAAAAACAAACTAAAACGACCAACAAGAACAAACTACGCAGCAAGCGGGACTGTGAGTGGAAAGGAACTATTTCAGCCACCACACCCCGTGAACGGGAGCTGTGGAGAACACTGCAGGATTCGCCATGGAGGTGAGCTCCAGGCGCCATTAAAGAGAGCCCCCCCCAGGAGGAGACCAGCACCAGCACACAGCCCTGGGCCGCCCGGTAAGCTTGCGCGGAAAAGCGGTGCGCTGGAAAAGCAAACGCGGATCGGGATCGGGATTGCGCGGAAAAGCGGCGCGCTGGAAAAGCAAATGCGGATCGGAATCGGGATCGCACGGAAAAGCAGTGCGGTTGAAAAGCAAACGCGGATCCGGATCACAGCTGCCCAGGTCCCCGCGCCTGCGACCTAGGCTTGCGGGGAGACGAGCGGAGGCCCTCACTGAGTGAGCAGGAACCAGGCGCCCAGGCACGGGAGCGGGATTCAAAAGGCACCATTCCTGCGCCACTGAACTGGGCTACAGCCCGCGTCCTGGAACTGAGGGCTTTGGAACTGAGACCCGGGTCACGAAATTAGGGGCGTGGGTTCCCCACGACGGTGGGGCACAAGGCAGACACAGCACCCCAAAGCCGTTGAGGTTTACCCTACCATTCCTGCTCTGTTCCCTGTCCCACGGGGTGGAAAATCAGCTCCCCAAGGGCTCTAGGAGAGATCTCTGGCGCCACCTAGCGACTTGAAACCAGCAGAGGCTCCTGGAGGACCCAGTGGCCAGCTGGGGAGTTAGCCCACGCCGGGCCCCTTCCGACCAATAGTCTGAGCCCACAGGGGGAGCGAGCACCCACAGCCGGGCAGACCAGGCGCACAGAAGAGTGTGCCTGAGACCAGACGCGCAGGGAGTGTATCCCACATCACCATTTTAAAACAGGGACATTTCTTCAGTAAAGACTACCTGCAGAAGGCTTCCTCAGGAGCCAGAGGTGAGCGGGGGAAGTTTGCCCATGCCAGACCCCCTCTGGCCTGCAGTCCAAGCCCAGAGGGGGAGCAGGAACCCACCGCCAGGGCAGACCAGGCGCACAGGGGAGTGTGTCCCCACATCGGCATTTTAGAACAGGGACCTTTCTCCAGTAAAGACTGCTTGAAACTGACAGATGGCTCCTGGAAGAACCAGAGGGGAGCAGAGAAGCTCACCCAAGATGCCGGCCAGTCCCAACAACACAGTGTCCCAACGCATACGGCAAATTAGAAAACAGACAGTAGGGAGTAGAAGAACCACACGCAACCTAGCAATTCCCCAGGGAAAAAGCACACCACAAAAAGAAAACCAGCCCCCAGATTGCAACGACAGTAACTTGGAAGAACTTCTGAGCCTTCCAGAAAGAGAATTTAAAATTGCCGTGATTAAAAAACTGACAGAAGTCATAAAGGAAAACAATGATAAGGGAAAAATAATCAACGATCAGAAGAAGGAAATTGAGTCCCTAAAGAGGGAAAACAGTAGTCAGAAGAATGAAATTGAGTCCCTAAAGAGGGAAGTAAAAGAAATGCAGGAGACCAAAGAATTAATGGAAGAACTAAAGAATTCTGGGAAAAGCAATGAAAGCAGAATAGAAGAAATGGAAGAACGAATAAGTTCTCTTGAAGACACAGAAATAAAAAGAACCAAAACAGAAAAGGAAAGAGAAGTACGAAGGAAAAAGAACGAAGAAAGACTTCGGGAGCTATCTGACTCCATGAGGAAAGGAAATATAAGAGTTATAGGAATACCAGAAGGAGAGGAGAGAGATGTAGGAACAGAGAAAATATTCAAAGAGATAATTGAAGAGAACTTCCCAAATGTGAAGAAGGAGCTGAAAATTGATATACAAGAAGCAAGAAGAACACCAAACTTCCACGACGAAAGGAAAAATACAGCAAGACACATAATAGTAAAGCTCCCAAGAATCCAGGACAAGGAAAAAATAATGAAGCTGGCAAGAGGGAAGAAACAGATAACATTCAAAGGAAAGCCAATCAGGCTGACATCAGACTTCTCCGAAGAAACACTACGGGCAAGGAGAGAGTGGAGGGACATAGTCAACAGACTCCAAGAAAACAGATGCCAACCAAGAATACTCTATCCCGCAAAGCTCCCCTTCCTCTTTGAAGAAAGAATATGGACCTTCCCAGACAAACAGAAACTCCGGAATTTCATTACAACTAAACCCCCACTCCAAAAAATACTACAAGGAGTCCTAAAGCCAGAACCTCAGAGGGACGAATAACAATGAAAGAAGGCCAAAAAAAAAGTTATTAAAAGAATAAATAAATAAAATCAAAGGAAAGACAAACACAATGGCAAATACAGATGCTAACATATCAATATTAACTCTAAATGTAAATGGACTAAACTCTTCAATAAAAAGACACAGAGTTGCAGCCTGGATTAAGAAACAAAACCCAACCTTTTGCTGTCTCCAGGAAACACATTTAGCTACAAAAGATAAAAATAGGTTCAAAGTTAAAGGATGGAAAACAATCCTACAAGCAAATGGACCAAAAAAGAAAGCAGGAACAGCTATACTTATATCAGATAAAACAGATTTCAAACTCAAAAAGATAAAAAGAGACCCCAATGGTCACTACATTATGATCAAGGGGACAATACTTCAAGAAGAAATAACACTCATTAACATATACTCACCAAATGAAGGAGCACCAAAATATATCAGACAACTGTTGTCCTCTCTGAAAACAGACATCAGAGAAAACACATACGAAGTGGGAGACTTCAACACACCACTATCAACAATGGATAGATCAACAAGACAAAAAATAAGTAAAGAAACCAAAGCTCTAAATAAGGACCTAGAGCAATTGGGCTTAACAGACATCTATAGAACACTAAACCCCCAAAAAACGGAGTACACATTTTTCTTAAGCGCACACGGATCATTCTCCAGGATCGATCACATACTGGGGCACAAGACAAACATCAACAGATACACCAAGATTGAAATCATATCAACCATCTTTTCTGACCATGAAGGCATCAAACTAGAAATAAACCATAAAAAGAAGGCAAGGAACTTTCCTACCTCATGGAGATTAAAAACCACACTACTGGAAGACCACTGGACTAATGAGGAGATCAAAGAAGAAATTAAAAAATTCTTTGAATTGAACGACAAGGAGGACACCAATATCCTAAATGTATGGGATGCAGCAAAAGCAGTAATAAGAGGAAAATATATAGCAATAGAAGCTCACATCAAGAAACAAGAAAGAACTCAAAGAAACAACCTAATCTCGAAGCTCAAAGATCTAGAAAAAGAACAACAAAAAAACCCCAAAACCAGTAGAAGAAAAGAAATAATAAAAACCAAAGCAGAAATAAATGAAATTGAAACTGAAAAAACAATCCAAAAGATCAATGAAACCAAGAGCTGGTTCTTTGAAAAAATCAATAAAATAGACAAACCCCTAGCCAGGCTCACAAAGGAAAAAAGGGAGAAAGCACAAATAAACAGGATCATCAATGAAAGAGGAGAAATCACAACGGACACAGCAGAAATCAAAAGAATAATCAGTAACTACTATGAACAGTTATATGGAAACAAGTTTAACAATCTAGAGGAGATGGACAAATTCCTACAACTCTACAATCACCCAAAGCTAGATAAAGAAGAAATAGAACACCTAAACAGACCAATTACAAGCAGCGAAATTGAAATGGTAATCAAAAACCTCCCCAAAAACAAAAGCCCAGGACCTGATGGATTTACAAATGAATTCTACCAAACATTCAGAGACGAATTAGTGCCTGTCCTTCACAAACGCTTCCAAAAAATTGAGAAGGAAGGGACAATACCAAACACGTTCTATGAAGCCAACATTACACTAATACCAAAACCGAACAAGGACAACACAAAAAAGGAAAACTACAAGCCAATCTCCCTAATGAACACTGATGCAAAAATCCTCAATAAAACTTTAGCTATCAGAATCCAACAATGTATCCATAAGATAATTCACCACGACCAAGTAGGATTCATTCCAGGGACACAAGGATGGTTTAACATCTGAAAATCAATCAACGTTATCCAACACATCAACAAAAAGAAATATAAAAACCATATGATAATATCAATAGATGCTGAGAAAGCTTTCGACAAAGTGCAACACCCATTCATGATAAAAGCCCTTGAAATTCTTGGGATACAAGGAACATACCTCAACATCATAAAGGCCATCTATGACAAGCCAACAGCCAGTATCATTCTCAATGGTGAAAAGCTGAAAGCAATTCCATTAAGATCTGGAACAAGACAAGGATGTCCACTCTCACCACTGCTTTTCAATATAATACTGGAAGTCCTAGCCAGAGCAATAAGACAAGAGAAAGACATCCAAGGAATCCAAATAGGAAAAGAAGAAGTCAAACTATCACTATTTGCAGATGATATGATAATATACATAGAGAACCCCAAAATCTCCACAGAAAAACTAATTCAACTCATCAATCAGTTCAGTAAAGTGGCAGGATACAAAATCAACACACAAAAGTCAGTAGCCTTCCTATACACAAACAATAAATCTGAAGAAGAAGAAATCAAAAAAACCATCCCTTTTATTATTGAAACAAAAAAAATCAAATATTTGGGAATAAATCTAACAAAAGAGGTAAAGGACCTATACAAAGAAAACTATAAAACACTGTTAAAAGAAATAGAAGAAGACACAAAGAAATGGAAAGACATCCCCTGCTCATGGATTGGAAGAATAAGCATTATTAAAATGGCCATCCTACCAAAAGCAATATACAGATTCAATGCTATTCCAATCAAAATCTCAATGGCATTCTTCAAAGAAATAGAACAATTATTGATGAAATTCATATGGAATCACCAAAAACCCCGAATAGCCAAAGCTCTACTGAAAAAAAAAGAAGGAAATGGAGGCATCACACTCCCAGACTTCAAACTATACTACAAAGCCATAATCATCAAAACTGCATGGTATTGGAACAAGAACAGACATACAGACCAATGGAATCGAATAGAAAATCCAGAAATAAACCCACAGATTTATGGTCAACTAATCTTTGACAAAGGAGCAAAGACTGCATTGGAGCAAAGAAAGTTTGTTCAATAAATGGTGCTGGGAAAACTGGGTCGCTACATGCAAAAGAATGAAGCTTGACCACTACCTCACACCATACACAAAAATCAACTCAAAATGGATTAAAGAACTAGACATAAGACCTGAAACCATAAAATACATAGAAGGAAATATAGGCGAAACACTACGTGATTTGCACATCAAAGACATCTTTACAGACACATCACCCAAAGCAGTGATAGTGAAGGCAAAGATAAACAGCTGGGACTACATCAAATTTAAGAGCTTCTGCACAGCAAAAGAGACAATAACAAAAACAAAGAGAAACCCCACCAACTGGGAGAACATTTTTGCACCCAACACTAATGATAAAGGACTGATCACAAAAATCTGCAAAGAGCTGATGAGACTCAACAACAACAAAGAAAATAAATCCGGTCAAAAAATGGGCAGAAGAGCTAAAAAGAAACTTCTCTGAAGAAGAAATGCAAATGGCCAACAGGCATATGAAAAAATGTTCAACATCACTTGTCATCAGGGAAATGCGAATCAAAACTACCATGAGTACCATCTTACACCAGTGAGAATGGCACATATTAAAAAAACTAGCAACAACAAATGTTGGCGAGGGTGTGGAGAAAAAGGAACTCTTCTGCACTGTTGGTGGGAGTGCAAACTGGTCCAATCACTGTGGAGAGCTGTGCGGAGATTCCTCAACCTACTGAAGATAGAGCTTCCATATGATCCAGCAATTCCACTCCTACGTATTTACCCAAATGACACAGAAACATCAATTCCAAAGAACACCTGCACCCCTATGTTTATAGCAGCACTGTTTACAATAGCTAAGCTTTGGAAACAACCCAAATGCCCAAAAATAGATGACTGGATCAAGAAGATGTGGTACATATATACCATGGAATATTATTCAGCATTCAAAAAAGATAAACACATGCAATTTGCAGCAACATGGATGGCGCTGGAAGGGATCATGCTCAGCGAAATAAGCCAAAAAGAAAAAGAAAAATACCGGATGGTCTCACTCATAGCAGGAATCTAGAAAACTTAAATAAGGGACCAGGAAAATGAATAACTATAAGAAAGTGAAAATCAAAATCAACAAAAAACTATGAACCAGAGACACTTTTAGGGGGGCGGGGGCGGGAGGGGAGGGATTGGGGTCAGAATGGGGGGGCTGCAATTGTATGGGGAATATAAAAATAAAATTTATTATTTAAAAAAAAAAAAGACTATATCCATAATACCCTGAGTAGATAAGAGGGGCAACTTCTCTTTCTGAGCAGAAAGAGGGGGGTATGAGGAGAAAGGAGTAGAGTTCAAAATAACCAGAGAATGGAGAATTAAGAAAATTGCTTTCTCAATTTACTCAACTCAGAAATTATGTAAATAAAACAAATATTTTGGATGACACATGATATACTTTGAGGTTTCAGCAAATGCTTCTATAAACCTTGTAATACATTCTTTCTGTTTGGTAAAGTCAACTTTTACATAACAGATTTACTTTAAAAAGACTTTTTCTACATTAGCATGACTGCTGCATCACCTCTCCCCTCCCACTCCCTAAAGCATTCTGTCAAAAAAATTTTTTGTTGTATTTGTTTTGGTACTTAAAAATCCAATATGTAAGTCAAACAACATGGTTTACATTTATTTCCACAACTGTCTTGCCATATTTTGTCACACCCACTAATCAGATATTTTCCACTTATTTCTCTGTTGTATGTGAAGCTGGCAGAAGACAATATTCTAAATTGCTTTCCAATCACAGCACCTCAAGAGACTTAAAAACACATTAACCTCAGGCAAGATAGCATGCTTTCATTTTTCAGGAAAATAAAACACTAATTATTGTTCCAAAACCTTCCTTAAAGGTCAAAAATAAATTCATAAATGCAATAAAATTGAGAGAAAACTTAACCTAGACCTTAAAGGAATAAACTCTTGATCTTGGAATAAACATTTGAAAACCTCACTATAATTTAACGTCTTATGTGCCATAGTACCAAAACAAAGGGGTTAATTAAGGACACAGTAAACTTTTGTCTGCTTTTTTTTTTTCCAGTCTCACAGGTATAAGTGTAAATTACTTGTCTAGCTTAAGATACTTGTTCATATTTCAGGTCAATAGATATCTGCTTAGAAGAAAGCAAGCACTTTGAACAGTGCTCTTAATTAATAATATCTTCACTGCATTGTTATATATTCTTCTGGTAAATTGAAATCAAAAGTTAAAATGCCCCATTTATTTCAGTAGGACTAATTTTTTTTAATTTATGTAGACAAACAATATGTATGAGCGACCTATGTCATTTTTAACGAAATGGATTGGTGTGGAATGACAGCTACTGAAAATTCAACAACACTCCAAATATTATATATTACTTTGCCAAGAAGACTAACTTTTGGTATTACTTACTTTATTATCATGGGACATGTTAATAGAGATTCCTTCAAAAGAACATTGTAATGAATATTTCTAACCACTAAGTGTCACTGTTGAGTTAATTTTTTTTTAATTGGCACTGACAGGCGTGTGGTGACTTTGTAGAATATTTTGAATGGGGTCAATCAGGGGGAAAAAAAGATTGGATTATATAACACTCAAAGCGAAGCACAGGCACTACACCAGTATAAGCCACAGAAGAGGAATTCCTAGAGATAGAGGTGTTGCTCTCAGTAAAATGCCAACTGATCAAATCAGACATTTTGCAAGCTTAAATAAGGTTTGAGCTGCACTAAGCCTTGTAATCTGTTTTACCAATATAAATGCCAAAACTGAATTGCCACTATAAAGTCTGCCAAGTTTCTTTGTATTGTATGTCAGTATGCTGTTTTCCTTGATAGTGCCATCAATAAACATGTCTGGGGATCAACTGCTTGTGATCAGATATGCTACTTTTATTGTTTCAAGCTGAGCTGATACTGTATGAAAAGGCAGTGCCAGAGGTCCCATTTAGGTTTGAGCATTTGAGGAAAGAATTAAGGCAGACTTCTCTTTATCCTGCACGCAAAGTCTTAGGTTAATGTTAGAATTCTCCCAGTGCTCACAAGTGTGGGCCTTATCTCCTGGACATGCAAATTTTGAGACAGCAGCATAATGTTCTGCCCCTTACAGGTATTTCTAAAATAATTCAACAGATAATACATTTAGAGATTTAAAGAACAAGATCTTCAACCATAACACTCATCCTATGTCTTATTATCTCATGCTGTTGCTGGAGTTCTAGAGCAATTAAAGGATTCCCTCAAATTATTTTCCCCAAAATTAAGAATCTACACCAAGTTACTCAATTCTTTATCTGTTCTTGCAAGACAGTTTCCATTTTAAAATAACAGATTTTCTAGCTTCTATTATTAGTCCCATTGATGTCAGTGTGGATTTTTGGAGGGGGAAGAGGAAGAGGTCTTTTTTGTGTGGTTTGGTTTTTGTTTTATTTGTTCAATCTTCTTCACTTGCTGGGCAATCTTTCATGCTTATAAGGTAGAAAAAAGTAAGTGATGACCAGAAAGTTAACACAAAAAACAAGTATTTTAAACTTCAGAGCTGAGAAAAATAAATTTGTACAAGGTAGGACTAGGCAAATGAAATTTTATAAAAATAATATGTTCTTATTATATGGATAGAATTTCCTTTGACTGAAGGTAAATATAGAAAGAACATTCATGGATATGGACTTGTGTGAGAAAAATGTACTGTGAAGATAACAGAGTAGAGTAAGGATTTCACATAAGGAAATAGCAGGTGACAAGGATTAAAAGTACTTGTGGATCTGAATGGGAAGAAAAGCATGAAGTTAGTAAACTTTAACTCTTAGAAGCTAAAAGACAATGGGAACCATTAAAAGTTTTAACACAAGAATGATAGGCAAAATAGTGTATTCAGAAGATTAATCAGACAGAGAAATGGAAAGTCTGAAGGGGATATTAACATGAATTGACATCTGAAGGTGACATTTAAATCAAATACCAAGTTTTTAGGATACGTATTGAAGATATAGTTCTAGATTCTTTAAAGTGTTTAAATATTTATACCAAAGAAATTATTCTGTTAAAAAATAATCCACAAAAATTAAAATAAAGAAATAAAAACACACAAAATAAAAAATAAGTATACCCATGCACACACACACACACACACAAAAACAGTAACATTTCTAATAAAAAAAAAACTCTCAATGTCCAAAAGTGGGGAGAATGTGATATATATTCCTAATGGAATATGAAACGTGTTTGATATACAGACTATCCCTTAACCACAATTCAGAGAGTAAAAAACATACCAGAGGGCAATGTTTATTTACCTAAGCCACTAATAATAAGGAAGTTAAGAGGACAGTATGCCTCCCACACCAGGCTCTTTCTTTGTGTACCCAGAGGTATCAATTCTTTTAGGGAAAAAATCTAAGGGATCCATCCCATCTCAGTACAGTGGTTGTGACAGGAGGGTGTAAATGGGGGTAAAGTTGGTGTAGGCAGTAGGGACTAAAACTAGAAGCTAAAACGAGGCTCCCACTTCTACAACAATCATAGATGCTAGAGCAACCCATTGTACTGGTGATAGTAATTCTAGAATCTCAATTCCATTGTTCTAGTCAAAGAAGATAGTTCCCATCATGTTGACAAGGATCTACTGGATTACAGTTCCTTCCATTCTCTCCCTCAACCACTTTCTTGCAGTACAAAAGGTAAAGATGGGACAGGTTCTGATGACAATCAACTCACAGGCATGTTTCAGGATGGGTTTGGTTTTTATTTAATAGTGGCTTTTATGGAACACATAAAGTTAGGGAGTTTCAGAATGCAGGAGAATCTGACCCAGATAGGATCTAGACCTGACATATATCTCCAGTCACTGCCTCCAGCTATACTAGCTGAAGTCTCCTCTTTCTATTCCTTATATTTTTCATGTTTCCATGTTAAAATAGCCAATTCTGATAGGAAACTTTCAATTTAGAGTTCACTTTATTCTCCCCCTGCAGTATTGTTCAGACCTTAAAGATTTGGGATGAGGAAGAAAATGGTCTGATAGTTCACTATTCCTTCCCAGCCCCATTTCTGTGCCCCTTTCTCTAGCTTGTTGTGACAAGGGGAAACAAGTTGGAAAGAGACAAATGGCTTGTTCTTATCTAGTTCCTGTTGTTATTCTTTCTTGGCCAAAGGCGGGTATTGATAAGGTCTGTTTGGCAGGCATTCAAATGTTGGCTCTTTCATTAGGCGAACATGGTTCTGTGAGGTAGAAAATCTGTCTTCAGCTTGTCCTCTTCCAGTGCCCCTTCAGTTTGCACCCCTGGAGATCCCTTCACATCTTCTTTCTGCCAGGATATACTTGCCTAGTGACAAGCTCTCTTGAGTAGGCTTCTGTCAGGATGGCTAGAGCCCAGCTACCTCCCCATTTGACTCTTCAAAAACCCACACATTCTTTATTGGCCTAACATGAGAGTGAGTTTACTCAACAGGGCCTTTACCCCATCATCCACTCTCTCTCAAATTCTGTGCTCTCCTATTGAACAAATCAACAAGCCTATAGCATAAGCAGACATCAAACCAGAACTCAAAATCTTTATAGGCAACACCTCTCACTTGGTTTAGGGGTGTTGAGTACCCCCTCCTCTTCCTCTCAAGGAAAAAAAATTAAAAACTGCCCTCCCTCCCTAGGCTATTGATAATAACTCATCACTCCAGTGTTTTTCCCTTTTTTCACCCTAGTCTTGTAGTCTCTAGCTTATATAGCCGGGTAGGAGAAGAGGGGAAAGAGGGATAAAGTTGATGCTAAGATGAGGATTGGGAGTAGCAGAATCTATTGACCTCTTAATAAACCCTAAGCCTGTGCAGGGCCTAATTGTTTCAAGTTGCTTGAGGCTTCTTTATCCCCAACTTTGAGCCCTAGTCAACAGAAATAGTCAAAGTTAATATACTGCTACAAAAAAAAAGACTTCAAGAAGTCCTCTGGATTAAGAAACAGATTTCAAGGAAACAACATGCTGTCTACACTCAGAAGGCATTTCCCACAGTTGAAGTCTATCCTTGAGGGACAGGAGTGAAACACAGACTTGGAGCTTGACTCCTTTTTCTGGATGCTAGAATGGTGGCCCCTTAATTGATGGTGTATTGAACGAGAGCCTCTTCTTTTATTTTTTCAATTATTTTTAAAATATTTTTAATTGAGTTAATATTGGTTTACATTATTGCTTACATTATAGAAGTATAGGATTCCCCATTTCAGACATTGTTGTCATAGTGCACCCACCACCACAGAACCCATAGTCTACCATCACAGACCCTATGCTCCCTCCTTTCTTTGCTCTTGGCACTCCCCTTCCTTCTGGAACCGTTTCCTCCTCTGGCTGCCCCCATTCCACAGTCAATTTTAAGGGTTAGCTTTTTAGTTTAGCTTTATCTTACCCTTGCTTTGTTTTTCTATATTCCACCATCCAGTATTTGTCTTTTTCCTTCTGACTTATTGCACTTAGCATTATCCCTTCCAGCTCCATCCATGGTGCCACAAATGGCAAGAGTATATCTTTTTTGATCACTGAGTAGCATTCCACTGTATACATTTACCACATCTTCTTAATCTATTCATCTGTTTTGGGGGCATTTAGGCTGTTTCCACATCTTGACTATTATAAAGAGTGCTGCAGTGAACATAAATGTAAGTTTCCTTTTGAATTAGTGTTGTTGCATTCCTCAGGTAGATATCTAGAAATGGAATTGCTGGATCATATGGCAGATCCAGAAATCTCCATAGTGGTTTCAATAGGGGTTGGACCAGTCTATGTTCTCACCAACAGTGTAGTATAATTCCTTTTTCTCCACATTCTTACCATCATTTGTTTCTTTTTGGTCGTTGTGAGATGGGCTTTTGTGATAGGCGTGAGATGGATTTTGACTCTCATTTCTTTGTGTGATTTTAATTCACATTGTGATTTTGTGATTCCCATTTCTCTGACAATAAGTGATGATGAACACTTTTTCATATTTCTTCTGGCCATTTGCATGTCTTCTTTGGAAAAGTGGATATTTAGTTCTTCTGCTCACTCTTTAATTGTGTTATTTATTTTCTTTTTGTAGGTGCATATGAGTTCTTTGTAAATTTTTTAAATCAGCCCCTTGTCAGATGTATGGTTCATGAATATTTTTCCCATTAAGTGGGGTGTCTTTTTTGGGGGGGTTACTATTTCTTTCTCTGTGAGGAATTTCTTAGTTTTATGTAGTCACATTTATTTATTTTCAGGGAGAGTCATTTCTTAATAAGCTCAAGTGTGAAATATTCCCATTCTTAGGGGCCAGCTATGATTTCACACACAAAACCTCTTCTCATTATTAAAACTGGTACCAAAGGAGTTGGAATTGGTTGCAGAATTCAGTGTCTCAAATATTCAGAACTATTTTCACTACCTCCACTGTCCCCACAACTCTATCTCATTCTGTCCA